TTGTGTCCAGGGTACTTCAGAAACTGAAAGGCAGGCTGGGAAAAGAACTGAGTGTCCCACCTTGAGCATCAGGACCTTGGACAGGTCTGGAAGGCGCCTCTTGGTTCATCTGGTTAAGTTCTCTCCCCTCCCTCCCTTCCTCCCTTCTTCTCTCTCTCCCTTCTTCCCTCCCTCCCTCCCTCTCTCTCTGCTCTCGCACTCCCTCTCTCCCTCCTTCCCTCCCTCCCTCCCTCTCTCTCTGCTCTTGCACTCCCTCTCTCCCTCTCTCCCTTCCTCCCTTCCTCTCTCCCTCTCTCCCTTCCTCTCTCTCTGCTCTCACACTCCCTCCCTCCATCCCCCCACCCTCCACTCCGTGTCTGCATGTTGCTATGCTACACATGTGGGCTTCAGAGAACAATCAGCAGAATTGGTTCTTTTCTTCCACAGTGTGAGTGCCTGGAATCAAACTCAGGTCACAAGATTTGGCAGCAAGCTCCTTTACTCACTGAGCCATCTCCACACACCTCACCCTCCACTGCTCATTCTGAGACAGGTTTTCATGGCTTCAAATGAATGTGTCGGGGAGGATAACTTTGAACTCCTGACCCTCCTGCCTCTACCTTCTGACTTCTGGGATCTAAGGCACGTGACGATATGTTCAGCATGTTAGGTCTTTAATATGTATTGGGAAACTCCACTATTGTCTGACACCTCCCCCCTCCGAGTTCCATGCTCTTCGAAATCTATTTCTTAGGGTGGTACTCCAGTAATTTTTGTTGGGGTGTCCCCTTTCTCTTCCACAGGAATAGTGGGAAGATATGGGGGAGGCCAGTATGGATGAACATGTCTGCTTCCCCACTGTTTTCTCTCCCCACAGGTCTACCCAGCTCAGCTCTCCATGTGGTCGTGAATGGGACAACTTCATCTCCACCCCTTGAACTCCTCTAGCAGCAACTCTGAGTTTCCCGGTGCCCTCTTCAGAGTTCTTCTACCCACAGTCCTCCTGTGCTCCACAGCTTACTCATCTTCCTGTTTCCAGCATCCCTTCCCACAGTCCCCAGCCTTAGCAAGTCCTTCCTCTTTGTCCATCCCCAGAGGACACTGTGGTGACTTTACATAGTTCTCTGCTTCCTGCTGGGGTCCTAGCAGATGCAGTACTCCAAGCTGCATCTTCCCAACTCAATGCTCTCCTGTGTTATTTCCTGAGTCTTCTAGAACATTCCATCCCATTGGTATTTAATTGTGTCCATGCTTATTCCCCAAGACCTCAGTAAGCATGGTACCAATGGTGTCTTCAACTCCTCCATAAACACCGCCTTCATCTGATTTTTCCTGCGCTCCCATCTTTATGTCTGATTGCTTGCATAGACACTCCCATTGGCATTAGAGCCACTTCTTGTCCAACCTTCATCCTGTCCTCTCAAGTTGTCCTTTTGCTTAGCCTTCCACAAAACAAACCTGGAACTCTGTCCTCGTGAACTATCTCCTATGATGTTCCCCTGAGCCTCCAAAGAGGGGGCTCAGGGGGCCCGATGGCCTCCCGCCCCCCGTGGCCCTGTAGCCCCAGTGGGCCAGGGGAAGAGCCTAGGAAGCCCCAGCACCCAGGATGGGCAATCGCACGTGGGAGGGCTGCCACGTGGACTCTCGAGTGGACCACCTCTTCCCACCATCCCTCTACATCTTTGTCATCGGGGTGGGACTGCCTACCAACTGCCTGGCTTTGTGGGCGGCCTACCGCCAGGTGCGCCAGCGCAATGAGCTGGGCGTGTACCTGATGAACCTGAGCATCGCTGACCTGCTATACATCTGCACGCTGCCATTATGGGTCGACTACTTCCTCCACCACGACAACTGGATCCATGGCCCCGGCTCCTGCAAGCTCTTCGGCTTCATCTTCTACAGCAACATCTACATCAGCATTGCCTTCCTGTGCTGCATCTCGGTGGACCGCTACCTGGCCGTGGCCCATCCGCTGCGCTTTGCGCGTTTGCGCAGGGTCAAGACAGCTGTGGCTGTGAGCTCCGTGGTTTGGGCCACCGAGCTGGGCGCCAACTCTGCACCGCTCTTCCACGACGAGCTCTTTCGAGATCGCTACAACCACACCTTCTGCTTCGAGAAGTTCCCCATGGAGAGCTGGGTGGCCTGGATGAATCTGTACCGTGTCTTCGTGGGCTTTCTTTTCCCTTGGGCTCTCATGTTGCTGTGCTACCGCGGCATCCTGCGGGCCGTGCAGAGCAGTGTGTCCACGGAGCGCCAGGAGAAGGTCAAGATCAAGCGTCTGGCTTTGAGCCTCATTGCCATCGTGTTGGTGTGCTTTGCACCCTACCATGCCCTCCTGCTGTCTCGAAGCGCTGTCTACCTGGGTCGGCCCTGGGACTGTGGCTTCGAGGAGCGAGTCTTCTCCGCCTACCACAGCTCCTTGGCTTTCACCAGCCTCAATTGCGTGGCCGACCCCATCCTCTACTGCCTGGTCAATGAGGGAGCCCGCAGTGACGTGGCCAAGGCCCTGCACAACCTCCTGCGTTTCCTGGCCAGCGACAAGCCCCAGGAGATGGCCAACGCTTCCCTCACCCTGGAGACACCCTTGACCTCCAAGAGGAGCACCACAGGCAAGGCCTCCGGAGCTGTATGGGCAGTGCCTCCGACTGCCCAAGGGGACCAGGTGCCGCTGAAGGTGCTGCTGCCACCAGCACAGTGAGCTCCATCCTCATGCCCCGCCCCTCTCTACTGTATGCAAATGTATGTAAATATGACCGTGTGAATCTTCGTAAAACAAGCAAAAAAAAAAAAATGATGTTTTTGTGTCTTTCTCAGTCATCTTCCACCATGATCCCCAGTGATTCACTTTAACTGGCAGGGCCTGATGGGGGAATGACACAGTTTGTCATCAGTGGGCTCCCACAAGGGAAGTCAGCCATGGAGAGTTTAGAATGAGGTGATAATTAAGCCAACTGTTTCTAATAGACAAAGACAGAAGAGCCTGGGCTGATGGTACTTGTAACCCCAGCTACCTGGTAGGCCGAGGAAGGAGGATTTGGAAGTTCACGATGTACTTGGACCACAAAGTGAGGCCCTGTCTTGAAAGACTAAGCACAACAAAGCCTGGGAATGCAGTCTAGCCGCAAGTGTCTGGCTAGAATCCCCCAGTGAGGGGCTGGGGTGTGGCTCAGTAGTAGAGCTTCTGCCTACAATTCATGCTGGTGAGAGTGATTTTCTTGTGTTTTAGAGAAAGAGTATGGTTATTTTTTATCCCAGTCTGGATTTGAGCTCATGGTCCTCCTTTCTCAGCTTCTCAAGAGTTAGTCTTACAGGAGAGAATTGCTGTGGAGCAGAGAGTTTCTGAGATTGACACGAACTGCATTCTCTCAGTCTGGGACCTTTCAGGACAAGGGATGTCAAAGCAGATGAGGGCCTTCCGGGCAGACTGCCTGGAGGAGTGAGCAGGACTGGCTTAGAGAGGAGGCTCAGGAGGACAAAATGGGCATAGCAAGACAACTTTACTTATGTTTATTTATTTATTGCGGGGTGGGGGTTCTGCCGCATCATTCCATGGCAGTCAGAGGACAACTTACGAGTGTTGGTTCCCTCTTCCCAGGTGGAAGCCAGGGACTCAAACTCGGGTCACCAGGCTTGGATAACAGCCCTTACCTGCTCAGTCATCTTGCTGGCCCCTGCTTTCCCCCTCATTTATTTTGGTACTAGGGCTCTTCCCATTGAGTACTCTTCAGCTGAGCTACACACACTCCTTTCCCTCTTAGTCTTGATAAGATGCCCTGGCAGGTTCTGGGCTCTCTTTGTAGCCCATCCAGGCCTCGAACATATGATCCTCTTGCCTCAGCTTCTTGAATAGCTGGAATGATGGGCCTTTACCACCAGGACCAGGTTGGGTTTTTTTGTTTTGTTTTTTAGATAGATCTCACTGTGTAAATCTGGCTGGCCTGGAACTTGCTATATAGAGCAGAATGGCCTAGAACTCACGGAGATCCTTCTCCCTGTCTTGTGAGTGCCAGGATTAAACAGTGTGGGCCACCACACCACTGGGATCAGTTTTTAGGATTTATTTTGAAGGAGGACTTTGTGGAAAAAACACAAAGGTCTAAAGGATTATGTAACTTGAGCCCCTGGCCCATTCTGGGAAAAGGGTGCCCAAGGGGCCTGGGCGGAAAGGGCCTCTGGGAACCAGCCTAGGCCCTGGTCCAGGACAGTCACTCAAGAGGCTACAAGGCAAAGGGAGGAAGGTCTTACGGTGAGTCAGTGCTGGGGCCACCCTGGGCTCCCTGTTCCTCCCATATCTGTGTCTATTCCCACGCCCCAGGGTGGCCAGGGCTGCCTGACGTAGCTTATGGTGTCCCTTCCTCTTTGTGGCTTAATGGGTCATCCAGATGTGGCAGTTCCTCCACCAAGCAGGAGGGGGAAAGGAAGGGCCCAGCTCTGATTAGCCCCCAGGCGATGTCTCTCCGTATGACTGTAGAAATAGGCCCAAGATAGGAAGACCACACACACACCCTTATCTCAGAGTCCCATAGAATTCTTCTCAGAGAACAGAAGAGGGGCTTGAAGAGAGGAATGGGGGTACAAAAGCACTTAGTAAAGAGGAGTGGAGTGATGGGGTTTACAAGGCACCAATCAGAGAAGAAGCTGGAGCTATCTCTGCATGGTGATACAGGCCTGTAATCCCAGGACTCTCCAAACCAAGAGGATTGTAAATTTAAGGCCAGACCAAGCTAGTAGCAAAACCGTCCCTTTTTTTTTTTTTTTTTTTGGTTTTGTTTTTTGAGACAGGGTTTCTCTGTGTAGCTTTGGCTGTCCTGGAACTCACTCTGTAGACCAGGTTGACCTCAAACAGAGATCTGCCTGCTTCTGACTCCCGAGTGCTGGGATTAAACGGGTGTGCCACCACTGCCTGGCAGAGACTGACTTCTCAACAGCAGAAGACAAAACAAAATGTACTGAATGCCTACTTTGTTCTGGAAGCTACTCTGAATTGAGGACACAGCTAGAAAAGAATTACACAGAAGTAACTCCCTAGCAGGCCCTTCAGCAACAGGGATTAGGAGATGGCCCTGAGCCAAGAGTCTTTAATCTGGTGACATCTTTAATCCTGGCCCTCAAGAGGCAGCCTTGAGGCCTTGTCTCGGGGGGAAAAAAAAAAAAAACAAAACCAAAACAAAAAGAAGACCTTGGGCTGGGACTCAAGGAGCCTTGTGTCATTACCCTGATTACCATGGAGGCCTGGGCCTCAGCTGGGGAATCTGTGGAATGAGACGAGGGGGCTCTGAGAGAAGACTCAGTGGGTAAAAGCACAAACTGCTCTCCCAGGGGAACCCAGTTCTGTTCCCAGCTCCAAATCAGGTAGCTCACAAACACCTCAAATACTAGTTTCAGGGCTCCAGTGCCCTCTTCTGTCCTCCATGGACACTGTACTCATGTGCACATCCCCCTACCCTGGCACACACAAATACACATAATTAAAAATGAAAATAAATGGGAAGATGTTGTCCAAAGTAGATGATGAACCTCATCTAACTGCACATTTTTCAGAAGGGGTCCTGAAAGAGCTGTTTTTCATAATCTGGACATTCATCACAATTTAGACATCTGGGTGGCACACACTCTCCCCCTCTGATGGCTATTCTTGCTTGTCAACTTGACTATAACTGTAATGAATCTAGAAATGAAGGGGACATTTGTGATCTGGATCTTGAGGCAAGAAGATACACACATGCCTTTAATCCAGACCTTGGGGCTAGAAGACACAGACCTTTAATCAGGGCCACACCTTCTCCTGAAAGCCGATATAAGGACAATGAAAGAAGGAAGGGCTCATCTTTCGCCTGCTTGCCCCTGCCTCATCAGCCAAGGCATTTCTCCTTCGGGGTCCGCACAGAGCAGCTAAGAAACCCAGCCTCATGGTACTGAGCAGCTACTAGATTCTTGGACTTTCCATTTATGACTAGCCATGGTTGGACTGCAGCCTGTAAGTCATTCCAATACATTTAAATTTCCATTATGTACTCATTCCATGAATTCTGTGACTCCAGAGAGCCCTTCTTTCTGTTCAGTAGTGGGCATCAGACCCAGGGTCTTTTTTGCAAAAGCTAGACAAGCACTTTGCCAAATCCAGCTATACCCAGTCCCTTTGACGTACATCGTATTTATTTTTGTACATTTTGAGTCAGGACTCACTGAGTCGCCCAGGCTGACCTAGAACATTCCATCCTCCTGCTTCAGCCTCCCGAGTGTTGCCATGACAGTATGTGACACCAGGCCCAGCTGCCATTAATATAGATAAAGCCTTGGTCCCCCGTTGCAGGAAGTTGAACAAAGAGAGAAGAAGGGAGAAGGCCAGGGTCCCCTGGCTCTGTGTCCCCAGTGTTTCCCTCTTGCTAGCCACCACCCTTCTGCTCCTATGCCTTCCTGTCCCTTCTGGTCCCCAACTACCCATCCTCACGCCACCATCCAGGAATTTCTCTCAATTCAATCCTGACTTTGTTTATATTATTTTGCTCCCTGCTGGGTGGGAGGACAGTCTGGGAAATGTCCTTAAAGTTCCTTCCTGAGCCAGCTCCCTGGGGACACTTACCCTCCGCAGGGGGAAGTGGGGCTGTTTGAGAACCAATGGCAGCAGCCAATACTGCAGGCTGAGGAGTCCTGTGTCACCCGGCTGGAACTAGAGAATAAGACTAATGCGCACACGGTGGGGAGGGCATCTGTGGGACTTGCACTTCCAATACCTTCAAATGTCACTTCTTGTGCTTTACACTCAGGATTCACACACCAAGCTGGGGACACAGCCCACCTTGCTCAGAATCACCCAGAGACAGGTTTCAGGTTTGAGGTGTGACTCTGCGGTAGAGTCCTTGACTAGAATCCTCCAGAGGATCTAGGCCTCCTCAGTGTAGGAGCAAGTCAACACTGGGTAATGTCTCAGGATCCATCTTCAACTATGAAAACAAAGGAAGATTCAAAACAAAGGAAGATGAGGAGTTCCAAGGTCATAATCCCAGCACTTGGGAGGCAGAGGCAGGCGGACCTCTGTGAGTTCGAGACCAGCCTGGACTACAAGAGCCAGTTCCAGGATAGACTCCAAAGCTACAGAGAAGTCCTGTCTCGAAAAACTAAACAAAACAAAACAAAAAACCAAAAAATGAGGAGTTCCAAAGTCAGCCTCGGCTATACATTGAGTTCGGAGTTAGGCTTGGCTACCTGTTTTTAATAATTTATTTTAATGTTCATTGTTTTGTCTGCATGTGTCTGTGTGAGGGTGTCAGAAGCCCTGAATCTGGAGTTAGACAGGTGTGAGCTGTCACGTGGGTGCTGGGAATTGAACCTGGGTCCTCTGGAGGAGCAGTCAGTGCTCTGGACCACTGAGTCATCTCTACAGCCCCTGAGATCCAGCTTTTTAAAAAAATTATAAAAGCATAATTTTAAAAAATAGAACTGATTTCCTGAGGGGCTTGAGTCACTCCTCCAACTTCAGAGGAGAGTGAGTAAAGCGGCTAGGTCTTTGTGACTACGCGATGAGTCTCCTCGCTCCCCGGTGAGCGTCCTAACCCACGGAGGAAGCTGTACCGGGACTCACTAGACTTAATTGGAATTTAACGAGGCGCCCTATGGGCTGGGACGCCGACTCGGTACGTGACATCACGCAGGAGCGTGGTGACGTCACTACGCCGGGAATAGGGCCCCGGCCACGCTCCCACGAGCAGCCGTTAAACGGCACCGCCCTCTGACGCCTCACTTCCGCTGTGTATTTGCATACTTAACGTACGGACGTCGGGGCGTCGACGCGGTGACGTCACAGAGCGCCCCTGCAGAGAAGCACCCTTTCTCCCCCCCCCCACGCCGCATCCCCCCCCCCGCGAGCGTGCAGACGCGCGCTCGTACGTAGGTACGAAGGCAAGTCCCTCCTTACGCAGATACGCACGGCCCACCGGCGGGCGGGAGCGGAGCGGCGAGGTCAGCGGCGCCCCGCCCAGTCAGCCAGCAAGGTTGCGCGTGCCTAGGGCGACCGCCAAGATGGTGGTGGGCGCGTTCCCCATGGCGAAGCTCTTCTACCTGGGCATCCGGCAGGTCAGCAAGCCGCTGGCCAACCGCATCAAGGAGGCCGCCCGCCGCAGCGAGTTCTTCAAGACCTACATCTGCCTGCCCCCAGCCCAGCGTGAGTCTCACCCCGCGGTCCCTAGCCCTTCCATTCTTGACCCCTCAGGTAGTTGCTCAGGGGCATGGCTTCCAGCCCTGACCAATCCCGGTGCGAACCGGCAAAACCCTAGAACCAATGGGGATGGCTTCTGCTAGAGGGGCATGGTACTTGTCCAATAGCGAAGAAGGGCGTGCGGTCAGGGGCGTCACCGCGCGAGTTGTAATGCAGACCAATAGGGAAGAGGGTTTGTGGCAGTTGACGTCTACGAGAGCCAATAGGATGAAGTATGAAAGCCATTAGGGTGGGCTTATCTGCCACTAGTTAGGGGCGGGACTGACAAGCGTACTAGGATTTCTTGCCTAGCCATTCTTAAGAGAGACTTTACTCCTCAAACTCCATTCTCTTCCTAAGTTTCCCTGCTGCCCACTGGGTACTTGCATATCATTCTGGGTTTAGAGCACGGTACTTATGGCTTAGTTTTTCTCTGGGTCAGAGTTAGGGGCGTGATGGTGATAGTGGTGGAATCTGGGGTCCTGGCAAAAAGATGAACCCAGAGTAGACATCCATCCGAGTGTTTATGAGTTTTCTCATACCCATCCATTCATTCGGTCGCCGCACCGTGCAGGCCGCTTGGCTGGGCACTATCAGATATGGTCCTAACACGGCAGCGTTATTACAGAACTGTCAGGGACCGTGGGCAGTCTGGAGTTCAGAACAACCGGGTGAGCCAAGGGAGCCTCCTGAGCAGAGAGAGAGCTCACTGGCATCGCAAAACTCACCAAATACGAGCTTTGGGAAAAAGCAGAGGCGAGGGGAAAGCCTTGTAACTTGCTGAGCAGGTAACTACCATTCATCCATTGCCCTGTATAGCCCGTTTATGAAGGGCATCTGTTTTGTGTGTGACCTGAGCTGACCCTGCTTATGAAACAACAGGGTTTACAACAGTACCTGTCTGTCAACCGAAGGAGACCCTGTGACAATCTAGAGGGAAGGAACATGTACAAAGACCAGATAGCTAAGAGGAACCTTACCTTTTTTCCTTCCACTATGTGTTTTGCAGTTCTTGGTCCTTTTGGTGTTTGGTGAAGTTTCTGCCTGGGCTGCAGACCTTACAGTGGAAAAGTGTTGGATTTTGAAGCCAGCCATGGTGGTCCACACTCATATCTCAGTATTTGGGAGGTTGTGGCAGTAGAAGCCGGAGGTCAGGGCCAGCTTCAGATACCTTTGTGAGTTCAGCCTGGGCTACACGAAACCTTGTCTCACAACCACCACCACCAACAAAAGAAACAGCTGGTATCATATGCTTGTGATATCAACACTTCAGAGACAGACTGCAAGTTATGAGCCATCCTCACATACATTGCGAGTTCCGAGATTTCCAGAATATAAACCAGGGATGACAGCTTGAAGTTTACAGAAGAAAAAAGTGAGGCCTCAGGGGCATGAATGATTTGCTTCTGCCACACTTTGTGGTCACACTCCATCACGGTGGAGGCTTGTGCCAGAGCCCAGATGTGGACTCTGGACTCCTGGGCTTTCTCCACCTCCTGCTTCTCTGCGCAGCACTGGGACTGGTCTTAGCTTTATAGTTGAGAGAACAGCTTGGCCCCACCTCTATGATAACTTTGGACAGATCAGTTAATCCATCTGTGCCTCTGTTTCCAGTTCTGTCCAGGGGACATTGTGAAACAGTAACTCTTGGTGTCCAGTATTTCAGAGTGTGTTCTTCCAGCCATGCAGCAGCAAATCCCCAGCAGTTACAGTGCTGGTGTCACCTTCTCACACTGCGTATGCCCTCTGTGCTTCATGCTGCACGCAGTGAGCATGCATTGCTGTGAGGAGTATGGAGGTATAAAGAAATCCAGGTCTCACCTTAGTCCCAGTACTCAAGAGGCAGAGGCAGGCAGATCTCTGAGTTCAAGGCCAGCCAGGGATACAGAGGGAGTTCCACAACAGCCAGGGCAACACAGAGAAACCCTGTCTCAAAACCAAAAGAGGAAAGAATTAAAAGGAAGAAAAGAAATTCAGGTCTCAGGAATAATCCATTCTGTGGGGGAAACAAGGCAACATCCAGCATCAGGACCTAAAATATGAAGTCTAGCTAGGCATGGGGACACATCCCTCTAATTCCAGTAGTCTGGAAGGCTGAGACAGGAGTGCCTTGAGTTTGAGGCCAGTGTGGGCTACATAGTGAATTCCAGCCAACCTAGTCTGTAACATAAACCCTTGTCTCAAAAATAAGGCATAGAGTCTTCGGTAGCAATAACAACAAATTAGGTTCAAGACCAGAAGTATTTGGAGGAGGGCTTTGTCTGGTCATGGCAGCCTGAAGGAGAGGGAAAAGCACCTCAGCTTGAAGGCCTGCGATCTCATTGATCTGAGCCAGTAGATGGAGGAAACCAGTAGCAGTGGGAAGGAGACAGCTCCTGCAAGGCCTGACCACTGAGAAGACCTGGGCGTTACACTGTGGGGCAGAGCTCCTTAGAGGTTCTGATCCTTGAGAGGCACAGGATCTGAGTGTGTATGAGTATTTGGCATTAAGAATGGAACACACCATCTTGTGAGAGCTAGATAAGAACTGTACCACTGAGCCACACCTCAGCCTCAAGTTATAGCTTATTAATTTTTTTGACTGAGTCTCATATAGCCCAGGCTGACCTCAGATTTTCCATGTACTCAAGGATGACTCCAAACTTCTGAACTGTGTCCTATGCCGAGTGACAGGTTTACAGGCACATGCCACCCACACAATCTTAAGTTTTATAAACTTTTGTATTTTATTGTATGGTTTCAATAATTTCATATACATGTATATTTTGTGTTCACCTGCTAACCTCTCTTGCCCTACTCTCAATGATCCCCTCTTCTTCCCAACTAATCCTCTTTCTGTCTTTTTGTTTTTTTGTTTTTTTTTTTCCCTTGAGGCAGGGTTTCTCTGTGTATCCCTGGTTGTCCTGGAGCTCACTCTGTAGACTAGGGTGACCTTGAACTTACAGAGATCCACCTGCCTCTGGAGTTGTGGCATCATAGATGACTCCTTATTTTATTGTTAAAATCTGCCGAGTTGCTTGCCTGTGCATGGGTGAGGGGTTATATTCGCCTGACCATGGGCACCTTGAAGAATCTGTCTCCCATCTTCCAGCAACTGTTAACTGCAATAGTTCCCCAAGGCCGTCCTGGGTTATATTTTAATAGAGCTTTGGTAATTACTGGCTGAGGGTAGATGCAGGGAGGAGACAGCTTCTGTAGTGCAGTTTGGTATCCTTTAATCTGCAATATGACTTGGCACTGAAAAAAGTTTGCTAGCCAAGCCTGTAACACCAGCTACTCAGGAGACTGAGACAGGAGAATTTAAAGTTCAAGACCAGCCTGGGGTCTAGAGTGAGTTCACATCTTTTGAGACCCTGTTTCAAAGTAATGAGTGAAAAGGAAAGAAATAGCTAGAGAGGCATCACAGTGGTAGAGCACTTTCTAGTATGGGAGTGGGTGGAGTCAAGCATCGTGACAAAGGCCTTCTGTGCCAACACTTGGCAGGGAGAGGTAAGAGGATGAGAGGTTCAGGAGTTCAAGGTCCCCTGCAGTTAAATTGCTGTTTGAGGCCAACCTGGGCTACTTGAGGGTCTGTTGGCCCTGGTCACCACATTTCTGCCCACCTTTGTTTTTCATGACATTCATATTGGGTCCCTGTGGTCCAGTATGGAGTCCTGCAGTCTGGAGCCTTCCCCAGTTGAATTTGAGTCTTGTGGTTTTGGCAGGGACCCCACTGAATAAAAGAAAGAATTAAAAAGGGAAGGTCCTGACTGGTCCTGATGTGGTGGAGGAGAAAGTTGATTGTAGATGTGTGGGAGAGCGCAGTCAGAGGCAGGGACATCTGGGGGAGTCCAGAGTGGACAGGACCCTGAGCCATGTGAGGGGAGAGGAACCAGGTGCAGCCGCCAGGAAGCCTAGAAGAGTAGACCAAAAGGACCAGGTACCAAAATGGCTAGATTCTATAGGGAAGATTAGCTGGGGGAAGGACAGCCCAGCCCTTGGGCTGAAGAGGTTTGTGGTAGAGGGCGGGATCTGCCAGCCAGAAAGGACCCTGTAACAGATATGGACTGAAGGATCCAGAGAGAACCTGGGCCCAACATCCCTTTGGTATGTTATAGGCACCTCAGCCATACTTTGAAATCTAAGACCCACAAAGTATGGTGTGTCCATATCTGTCTAGGGAAGATTTGGTGTAAACAAAGACTGCTCATTTCTTTCCCAGCCACCCAGACCTGAATAATCACACAGAAACTATTAATTACAACACTGCTTGGCCTATTAGCTCAAGCTTCTTACTAGCTAATACTTACATCTTAAATTAATTTTAATTTAATTTCTGTCTGTATATAATTTAATCTGTATATCACCACAAGGCTGTGGCCTACCAGTAAGTTCTGGTGTCTTTCTCCTTCAGCAGTTACATGGTATCTCCCTGATTCCGCTACTCTCTCTATGTATCAGACTTCCTGCCTGGCTATAGTATGCCCTGCTATAGGCCCAAAGCAGCTTCTTTATTAACCAGTCATAATAAAACATATTCACAGCATACAGAGGGGACCCACATCAATTTGGGACACACCATATTTGTGGTTATTTGCATGTATGGACAAGTTCTTGGCATCTGTCTATCCCTCACCTAGGATGGTATCTTGAGTCCTATGGTTACCATTTCAACCTTGAAAAGAACCCTTCCTTTCCTCTCGGTGGTGACTGAAGGTCGAGCTGGCAGGAGTCAGGTAGGAGAGGGCAGATGGCAGACAGGCAGAGAGGACTCGCCACTCCATTGATTCTGAGCTTGGAGAGCCCCCTGCTAGGGTCCTGTTTTCTTTCATTCCATCCTTCCTGCTTCTCACTGCCAAGTGCCTGTGGCTGTGTCTCAGAATTCCCAGGCGATTCTCCAGGTCAGGCCTCTCTTACCACTGCTGCACGCACCTGAGGTTCTTGGCACTCAGCAGGATAGGCTTGTCCCTTGTATGGCGTTGTACATTGTTTTGTTTTGAGGCAGGAAGGTAGCGCACGCCTTTAATCCCAGCACT